TCTGTGGCTCAAAGGAGTAGGGCGCTGGCCCCATATACTGGAGGTGGTGGGTTCAAACTCAGCTCTGGCCAAAAACTAAAAAAAAAACAAAACAAAAACAAAAACTTGAAAATCTAGTTTTATGTGATAGGTTATTATTATAAGACACTTAAATTAGAAAAAGTAAATCATTTGAAGTGCGCTTAGGACATTTTATTTGCATACCATTTTACAGATTTATTTCATCATTTCTTCTCATTATTAAAATAAGTACCATAACTACTGTGATATAAAATACTATTTTTAAAAAGTATTAAATCTCATGAGTTGCAAAATACCATATAATTCAGTTGAGTTATATAATTCACTGAGTTATGTGGAGAACTGGCATGATCCCAGGGCTGGGACCTCTACCCAGGCTTCCCTCGAAGGGGGGAGAACTCCAGGGGCCAAGGTTCCCTGCTCTCGTCCATCCAGACCCTTTTCCTCCGCTTGTCCTCTTCCACCCACTGCAGCTGGGAGGGCCAATTGAGACTTGCAGGAATAGCTGCCTCTCATCAGCCGTGGCAGCCTCCAGGCTGGGGTTCCCGCAGAGAATGAGACACACACCTTTCCCCCGGGGACCTGCAGCGGACCCAGGGGTGCTGGTCTGGGAGTCCCTTGCCTGCTGGCTCTCCCTGAGATGGGTACCATCAGGTCAGACACATGGGGGATCCTATGCCCCCACATCTCCAGTGGATTGCTAGGGGACACAAGGGAGAGACTTGAGAGTTGGACTGGGGAGGCAAGGAGCCCACATGGGCAGAACTGATGGGAGAGGACAGTGGGGGTCCAAGCTGCAGCAATCTGGTGGAGCAACCATCCCCCTCAGGAAAGTTGTACTGTGGTCTAATGCAGGTCCCCTGGCATGAGGTGCCATCCCTATCTGACAGCAAATAGGCAGAGCAAGGAGGTATGAGGTGGAACTTATCGCTATCCCACTTTCCAGGGGGAAGCCAAACTTAAAACCTCACCCAGGGCAGCACCTGTGGCTCAAAGGAGTAGGGCGCCAGCCCATATGCTGGAGGTGGTGGGTTCAAACCTAGCCCTGGCCAAAAATTGCAAAAAAAGAAACCCTCCCCCAGCACAAGCTGTAATGAGGTGTCACTAGATGGCATTATGCTCCCCTACTCCTGGGCAGGAAGCTGAGCTTCCACCACCCCTCCATCCAGTGGCAATGAGGTAGGAGAGACGAGAAAGCAGGGCTGGCCTGCAAACCACTCTGCCTGCCAGGATGATGTCAGCACGGTCCAGTCAGAGAGCTGGACTTCTATCCAACCCATGCCAAGAAGCAGAAGGAGGGGGTTTAGGTGGTACCAGTCGTCATTCTGTTTTCTCTTTAGTGTCACTGGGTCCAAAGGAGAGCTGAGCTTCTACTCCACCCAGTGCCACAGAGTTAGAAAGAGTGGTGGGCTTCCCTCCCTCCTCTGCCCTGGCATTACTGAGGGCACGTGGGGAGCAGAACCCACATGCTTACCCAGCTAATTGAGTCTATTTAATACCAAAGCAATCATGAAAACATAAAGCAGATCAAGTCATCCTTCTCAGAGGTTCCTATTTCTCTCAGAGTAAAAGTCAAAGCTTTTAAAATGATCTTCAAAGCACTGCAAAGGATTTGTCCACTGTTGTGTCTCTGACTACAGTAGGCAAAATTCTAAGATGGCCTCACGATATCTACCTCCTGACATTATTCCTACACTTAAGTTCTCTTACATTAAAAAAAAAAAAAGATTTTGATAATGTAATGGAGGTTAGTAATCAGTTGATCTTAAAATAGGAAAATTACATGAATGTGCCTATCCTAATCACCTAACCCCTGAAGAACAATTCAATTCAATTAGTTGCAAAAGAGGAAGTCAGAGAGATTCCAAATGTGAAAAGGATTCAACGTGCTGTTGTTGGCTTAAAGGTGGCGCCATCTTATGAGAAATACGGGTGTTTTCTAAAAGTGGAGAGAGGCCCTCAACTGATGGCTAGTCAGGAAATCAAGGCCTCTGTCCTTGTGATGGTTAATTTTATATGTCAACCTGACTGGGTCATTGAGTGCCATGTATTTAAACATTTCTCTAGGTGTGTCTGTGAGAGAGTTTCTGGATAAAATTAAGATTTGAATCTGTAGACTACGGAGTAAAACAGATTGTCCTCTCCAGTGTGGGTGGGCCTCATTCAACCCACTGAAGGCCTGAATGGAACAAGAAAGCAGAGTAAGGGAGAATTTGCTTCTTCTTTCTGTCTTTAAGTTTAAACATCCGTCTTCTCCTGCCTTAGGCATAGACTCAGCCTGGATCCACACCACTGGCTCTGCTGGGCCTCAAGTTTGCCAGCTGCCAACTGGGACCATCAGCTTCTATAACCACATGAGCTAATCCCTTATTTTATATGTGTGTGTGTACATATATCATATATATACATGTATATATGTTGGTGTGTGTATATATGTATGAATGTATGTGTGTATATGTATATATGTGTGTGTTTATATGTTTATATGTGTGCATATGTATATGTGTATGTGTGTATGTATATATGTGTGTATGTATATATGCATGTGTGTATGTATATATGTGTGTATATGTATGTGTGTTTATGTTTATATATGTATGTATATATGTGTGTGTATGTATATATGTGTATATGTATATATGTGTGTATATATGTATGTGTTTATATGTTTATATGTATGTGTGTATGTATATATGTGTGCATATGTATATGAGTGTATGTATATATGTATGTTTATATGTATTTGTGTATGTTTATATCTATGTGTATATACATAGATATGTGTGTATGTTTATATGTATGTATATGTATGTGTGTGTGTTTATATGTATGTGTGTATGTATATATGTGTGCATATGTATATATGTATGAGTGTATGTATATATGTATATGTGTATACATATATGTATATATATATATTCCTATTGTTATATCAGTTCTATTTCTCTGGAGAACCCTAACCAGTACAGTCCTACAACTAAAAAAAGAAAGAAAAATTCTGCCAACAACCTAAAAGCAGATTTTTCCACAGACCTGCCCTATAAACTTTGGCTTGGCTTGGCTGAAGCCTTAACCTCAACCTCAGGAATTCTAGGCAGACAACCCAGTCAAGTTCACCCAGACTTCCAATCTACAGAAATATAAGAAAACAATGGCTATGGTTTTAAGTTGCTGAATACAGATTAAATCCTGTTACCCAGAAATAGAGCATTAATACACAGATGTTTTCATCTTTTCCCGTTCTCCTTCCCTCGTTCACTCACTTTCACCGCATTGGCCTCCTCGTTCCCCTTTGATGACACCAAGCTTCCTCCAACGTTGGGACCTCTGTGTTGACTGTTGCCTCTCGCTAGAGTGCCCTTCCTTTCAATACCTACATGGCAAGTTTCCTCCCCTCTTCCGTCTTTCCTCAAATGTTACTTTCTCAGTGAATCCTGCTCAGGCCCACTCCTACCACAACCTCTTACACGGCTCTACTTTTGCTTTTTCTCCAAAATACTTACCTCCTTACATAATGAACTTACTTAGTGCATCTATAGTTTATCAGTGGCCTACTCACATTAGAATGTAAGCCCGCAGGGGCAGAGATCATTATTTTGTTTGTAAACATTCTGAGCACCTGGAACTATTCCTGGCACAGTAGTACTTGTAGAATAAAGTGAACTAAATCTATATTAATTAATCTTTGACTTAATATATCATATTGCTATGTAACATATCACTGTGATGTGTATTTTAAACTCTTCCTCATAATAAATAAGGCTAATCATGTTGTTTATGCATGGAAATGTGACAGCACATAACAAACTTTCTTGGTCATTAGCATAAAAATATATCGGGTGGTTTTTATTATTCTTCCATCACTCAGAGAAGAGAAACTTCAGTGATTGGAACTGCTATGTTTGGGAGATGGGGGGGGTGATACAAAAAGATACCTTTGCCAAACCTACAGCTTGCAGAACACATTTTTTTTTTTAAAAAAACTGCTGATACAGAAAATTCAACAAGATGCCTTTTAAGATACCTTGCAGTTCTCTAATTTCCTAATTTTCTGACCAGTACACAAACTCAGTGAACTATTTGCTCAAGATTTGAGGAAGATTTGAGCCTTTTTGTTGATCATCTTTCAAATCTGCATTTACCGGCCTCTCTGAGGACCCAGATTCCTATCTTTTGTCTCCACCTGCTTCAGAACATCATCCCTGTCCCACCATTACCTGGAACTGGGCATTCAGAATCACGCTCCTCCTCATGACCCCGGATCCCACTCCCACCTCCTTCTGCCAGTTGGATTCGCTCTCCTCCTTTTCCGAAGCCTAAGTCAATCTCCGAACCCATTGCTTTTCCTTTCAAATCTCCTCTTTCTTCTTGCCCTTTCTTGTTATTATCACTGCTGTCACCTGTGTTTAAGCTGGGACCTCCTCCCTGGACAACCTTCCGCACGGTTTTCCTCTCGTCAAATCTGTGCCTCGCTCACCGTCAGTGCCACACGTGACCATTTGTTAATCTCCCTGAAATGGTTTTAAATTTTCTTAATGCCTCAGAATCTTCCACTGAAGATTAGAAGAATACATTTTAATTAACCCTCAAACAAACAACAAACCCACAGGCTGTCATATATTTTTCATGATCCGGACATTCAGTCTAGTCTCTTATCCCCTGAAATCCCACTGAGCACTGTCCTGGGTTTCAGTACAAGAACAGGCATTCTAGACAAAGAAAAAGTGGAAGTAAAAGTAGCTTAAGAAAATGTTTTAGAAATCAGGAATGATTTTGCATGGTATTTTGGTAGTGTTAAGTGAGGAGCTCCGACATCTGTCCTGGTATCAGCCTCCTTCTTCAGGTGCAAACATGTCTGTCTTCAGGAAACCATTTTCATAGGTAGCAAATTGCTGATATTGTACATCCTCCTAATGAAAGTAAAGCAACCTGAATCTCAAGCAGATCCCCCTGTGAGCTGTGTTCTCTGTTTTCTGCAGGGAGCCCCGCAAGGTGGTCCTGCACAAAGGCTCCACTGGCCTGGGCTTCAACATCGTGGGCGGGGAAGATGGAGAAGGGATTTTTGTATCCTTCATTCTGGCCGGGGGCCCAGCAGACCTGAGTGGGGAGCTGCAGAGAGGAGACCAGATCCTATCGGTGAGTATTTCTCTTTAGTCTTCATTCCCTCCGTGTCTAACACTATCTGTGAAAAGGTCACTTTCAATTATGACACCAGAAGCGCCTGAATTAAAAAGCAAGCAAGGATAAGAGGATTATGGGTTCAAGTGCATGCCCCCATTTAAATGGTGTTCAGGTATTTAACGCCTGTTACACTTACTTCCCTCAGATAAGGGTGAAGGTGCTCATGTTTTCTTTTAGATTTTCTAAGACACATTTGCATCTAAGAAAACATGCCTTTTTTTAATAGTATATTACTCGTTTTATTAAAAAACAGATTTTTCCTCCAAACTCATGACCATAATCTAAAAACTGCACCTATAATGAATATAGTTTAGTGCATATAACAATTTTTAAAAAACACACACACACAACAAAAATCATTTTACAACAAAGACATTTGCACCAGAATGTTTACTGCAGCCCAATTTATACTTGCCAAGTCACACAAGCAGCCCAAATGCCCATCAACCCACGAGTGGATTACCAAATTGTGGCATATGTACACCATGGAATACTATGCAGCCACAAGAAAAGACGGAGACTTTACATCTTTTAAATTGACCTAGATGGAGTTGGAACATATTCTTCTTAGTACAGTAACTCAGGAATGGAAAAGTACCGGATGTGCTCAATACTATTATGAAACCAACATATAATCACTTACACATTCATACAAATGATAAAACACAAAGATAGTCCAGCAAGAAGGAGGGGAGAGGAGGGGGGGACAGGGAGGGAGGAGGGAGAGCATTTGGTGGCATCTCTCCTAATGCTCACAATGCAAGGGTAAATTTCAAAATAACTAAGAGTAAATGATAAATGCCTTACCACAAAAAAGAGTAATTAAGTGAACTGATGGTTATGTTTATCAGTTTGATTTAAGCATTCCACATCGTATATCAAGTCATCACATTGTACCCCCTAATGTATGCAGTTATGATCGAATAAAAAATTAAATTAAAAAAATGCGTAAGATCATGCTATCGACAGTTTGCTGATGGTGATGAGTGGTAGCAGCAGTACCTAAACTTAAGAATTGTCAGCCTCAATTTATTAAGCACCTTTTATTTATCACTCATCTTATTAAAGTGATTTTTAAAACTACTTTATTGAGGTATAATTGACATACAAAAAGCTGTACATATTAAATGTATACAACTTAGTGAGTTTAGACATAATGTATACACTCAGGAAATGATCACCATAACGTACACCAGAAACATATCCATTATCTCCAAAAGTTTCTTCCTGACCTCTTTATTTATCATGTTGTGTGAATGGGACAAGAACACTTTGATAAGAACATCCTCTCAGCAAATTTTTAAATATACGATATTGATAACTACAGGTGCTAGTGTACAGTAGATGTCTAGTGTTTGTTTATCTTGCATAGCTATGAAAATAATTTTTAATTCTCACAAGCACCCTGAATGGTATTGCACCATGATCAGAGGAAGAGAATAAGACTCAGAGCGATTGAGTAGCTTGCCAAAGTTCACCTGACTAGAGAGAGTCAATGCTGGGGTATAAACGTTCATTTGTAATGTCCACCACACCCACCTCTCCCTTCCCTTCCTCCCTTCCTTCTTCCCTCCCTCCATCCCTTTCTTCCATTTTTCCTTTCCTCTTCATTCTTTCTCTGTTTTCTTTTATTGGTTTAAATATTTATTGACTGTTTCTTTCCATGATTTCAAGTTACTTCCCTGGTGAGATAGGTCCTTAAATCCAAGGGAATGTTTTTGCCCACAGTGGAATTTTGGTAATAATGCAAATAATAGTGGAGAATTACATAAGGAGCCAATTCTTATAAGTGAAATTATGGTTGATAACAAAGCATTCCATCTGTGGTTTTCATTGTGCACTTAGAAAAATGTATTCTCGTTTTATAGCTATGATTTATAGATAAAATTTTCCAAATGACTTGTTATTTTTTGGTCATCATTCCAACCCCTTGAACACGAGCAAATCAAACACCCTCTCTCTTTCTCCCTCCCTCTTTCTCTCTTTCTCTCCCCCCTTCTGCCTCCCTCTCTCTCTCATGCGCAAGCTCACACACTCACACATATGATTTCCCTAGATAGCAAACAGTCAGTTAACCTAAGTAGTGTCCAGCCCTGCCATAAGTGTCCCTGTGGTTCTCTCACACAGGTCTCTGCCTGCTCACTTGTAGCTTGCACATCCTGAAGAACTAGGGTAAGGCCCCTGCTGGGACCTTGCTCTGTATCTAGGAGCTGAGCACCACCCTTCAGCCCCTTCTCTCCCCTGCTTCTGGGACACTTCAGTGATATATAAAATGCTATGAAGCTGTCAACTGTCAAACCTTGTTGCCCACATGTGCTTACGTGTTTATCTTCCTCTTCTAGGTTATAACGCTCCCTAATAGCAAATTCTCTATTGTGCATGATGTTATATCCTCAGTATTTAGTATTAGTAAGCACCTAACGGTCTCTCAGGAAATGTTTATTGAATGAAAAAGTGTGCTAGATAAATATGGTGGCACTTTAAGAAGTGCCTGAAAATTGCCTCTAATATTTATCTAAAGCATACTAACACATCTTCATCATCCTGGCTTAAAATCTGTAGCCAGGGGTCCACTCCCACCGCCTTACAGCCAGCGTTCATATTGTCCTAGTACATTCCCAAATGCAAAGGGAATTAACACACGTTAATTCTAGGGATGCTCAAAGACATTCTAAGTGCCAGGATAGGATGGGCTGTTATTACAACTCCAATTTTCCGGACCAGGAATAGGGGATTTAGAAAGGTGAAATGATCTGTCTAAAGCACCACAGCTACTAACCAGGAAGCTGGACTCACAATCACATCTCCTGACCCGAAGTCAGTCTTCTTTCCCCACCCAGCACATTCTCTGTTCAAAATTGTGTCAACAGTCCCTATTCAACACCTCTTGAATCGCGTTCAGGAACACACAGAACTAGTAAGTGCATGGTGCTTTTGATTTGGTCACTATTAGAACTAATTTAATCTCAGAGCAACACTATGTCTTATTATGCACATTTCAGGGATGAAGAAACTGAAGTGTAGAGATAAAATTACACTCTCTAATTCTGTATAAATAAGAAATCCACCAAGCCATTGGCTTTGATTTAACCCCAATACTTACAGTCAAAATGAATAGTCTATGCCTCAACAATGTAGATGTACGCATTAAATATTACCAGGACCACAGAGTAAGTAAGGTGGCCAATTGGAATTACAGTCTTCTTAGAGATTACAATTCATAGGACATAACAAATATCCCTGAAGTTCAGATAGAATATCCTTTTTGTATAACATTGGAAAGGACATTGAATGATGAAAATATTATGTGCTTTTTTTAGTTGAAAGAGAAGAGGAAACATTCTCTTTTTAGTTTGCTAAAATTTAACCTATGGCTAGAAAGTAGCTTGTTTTGAGGCTCAGGGTTGGGATCCATCGGTTAATACTGAGAGTAAAAGAAATGCAAACAATATGAAAAGAAAAAATAGCAAAATAGAATTATCAAATGTAATATGGAAAATAAAATATTTTACATCTAAAATTTACAGTGTACATATAAGGGCAAGCTACACCTTCCTGGAAAATACAAAGCAAAACCTCTAAATAGCAATCGAGCTAAATAAAAATTCAGTGCATATCATTAGGTCATGCAAGATTAATTTGCAAATGAGTTTTTCTTGGAATAACAGATTAAGATCAGAGACGGGAAATAGAATCCCCAGGGAAGGGAGCTGGTGGGTATGTCTTTGCTTTCAATTGTTCTTCATAGATAAGAGAGTTGCTTAATAGACAATTACCTTTCTAATCAGGGCAGAATATCCATTCCTAGTCTCCAGAATCATTCCCCCATGCAGACTATAGAATCTTCCTGGATAATTTACATACACCTTGAGGAAAGAAGAGGGGCAGTAACACTTAAAACAGAGCATGTCAGGTCCTAAGTGTTCAAAGTTGCTATTACCATTAACAATTCTGCCTTAAGAATAGATCTGATGAGTTGTTTTGTTTTATTTAGTTTTGTTTTGGACTGGGAAAGAGTCTCAATTCCGTCACCCAAGACAGAGTGCTATGGTGGCAACCTAGCTCACAGCAACCTCAAACTCCTAGGTTCAAGCAATCCCCCTGCCTCAGCCTCTGAGTAGCTAGGACTATAGGCATTGGCCACAATGGCCAGCTAATTTTTTCTATTTTCGGTAGAGTTGGAGTCTCGCTCTTTCTCAGGCTGGTCTCCAACTCCTAATCTCAAGTGATCCTCCCACCTGAGCCTCCCAGAATGCTAGGATTACAAATGTGCCACTGCCCCTGGCCTACATCCAATTTTTTTTTTAAGTGTCAAATAACCATACATAAAGAAAGCCTATTTTAGATGGTCTGGGCTGTTCCTTCCTTGGGATAGCACTCAGATTAGATCAGCATTTCCCAAAGTGTGTTTCATATAACACCAGAACAGCAGGATCGTAATAGGTTCCTTGGTCTACAGGCTTCTTCAGGGAAGAACTTCCCGAAACATCTTTTACCAACATGCATTGGAACTTTCCTAGAGCAAATAAAGTATATGGTTTTCCCAAAAACATCTGACCATCAAACCCTTATATAAGGAATACCTCACGGGACAACAGTAGTGAGAAATTCTTGAGTAGCTATTTTTATAGTTCCCGTGATTGTTTCCGACTTTCCTGCCTGTACGGAAAGAGACCGAGCCGTTCGCTACGTTTTAGGGTTCTGAGCGCCATCTAGTGTTCATGTGCTGACTAACCGGTTACGTTAGCACATCGCAGCATGGCGATGAGGTTCCTGGAGCTCTTGGCAGGGATGGAACCTAAACCTACCTTTCTCTCCACTACAACTCCAGAACTAAAGTAGTCAGGATAGAGATTAAAGAATCACCTTAGGCTACGCTCCGTATACATCTCGTGATCTTTTCTCTTTAATTTCTCTTTTATGTATTCTATTTCAAAGGGATTGGTTGTAGAAAG